ACATAGTCTCTTTATAGCTCGAGGCATTTCGTCCAGCGTTTTTCCAAATTTTTGAATTTCTTCAAAATAATACGTTTTTCAAGGTCTTAAAAATAAGGGTTTGTTTCAGTGATAACCTCTTCTTTCGACCTAAATCTCATATCGTCCAGCCATTTCTTTGGGTTTTGGAAACAGGAAAAGAAGTTCGTAGCCCAATTGATGGAATTTTTCAATGGTGACTACACACGTGAGTTGTGTATGTTCAATATATAAGTCTAGCAAAGGTATTTTTGTATCAGTAAACTTCGTTACATAAAAATATCTACAGCAACTATATTTATAAGTTAAAACTAATATCGTAGTAAGTAAACGGCATAATCTGTGTGGCTATAATCCACGCAACTTAGTAAACATAATATAATAATATAGATTAAACATAGCAAAACTAGAATTCATAGAATTATAGAAACAGAATTTTTTATAGAATTGTAAAAATACATATCTAGCGAAAGCTGTATTCTACGAAATTTGGATTAATATAGACTTGTCTTTTTCATAATACGGAAAAACTCATCCTGATTTACAACTCCATCATGATCCAGATCAGCTTCATCAATCATTTCACGCAACTCCTCATCGGTCAGCGTTTCGCCCAATTCGCGGGCAACGCGCTTTAAGTTCTTAAACGAAATTGACCCGGTGTTATCGTCATCAAAAAGGCGAAATGCTTTTAATATTTCTTCTTTGGTATCCTTGTCAGGCATTTTTATGGTCATCAATTGTAGGAAATCGTTGAAGGATATACGACCAGTACCGTCCTTGTCAATTTCGACAATCATGCGCTTGATCTCTTCTTTCTTCGGCTGAAAGCCAAGTGCACGGAGGACAACCTTTAACTCTTTGACCTCTATAAAGCCGGTGCATTCGGTATCGAACAAGTCAAAAGCCTCCTTAATGTCGGCTTTTTGTCCTTCGCTGAGCTCGAACTTGGGGCCGGATTTCTTGCGCTGCGATGTCGACGGATTTTGTCGTTTGCCAGCGACATTCGTGGCCAAAGTCGCGGTCGACGTATTATTATGATCCATTTTTTCTCTTAAATTTGGAAATACTACTCATGAACGGCTTCAATCTACAAATGAATATCAAGACAAACCGTTGGCTGTTTGGTTGCAATTAATTTATTTGTGAATAATAAACAACAACGACGTGTTGCTGTGACCACAGACAGTGTTGCCAGAGAAAGTGTCCTAAAAAGCTTAATTTTTTCCAAAAAAAATCTTCAAAATAAGATTTTAAAGATAACAAGAAATAATTTCAAAATACCCTCGAAAAAATACACAATTTGATACTGGCTTTACGGCTGTAGATAGCCTTTATTATGTTGGCTGAAGAAACTTAACAATTTTAAGTTATAAAGTCCTTGTTATTTAAATTTAAATTAAAAATAAATATTGGCTTCGTGGTATCACACAACTTTAACTAAATTTGTTTTCTAAATCACATACGTTACAAATAATTAACCTACGCTATTTTAAGCGTACATTGAAAAAACGCGTGTATGTAGGGACGCGATATTTTAGCAAGTTTGGTATTTTTTTAACCGACTTCAAAAAAGGAGGAGGTTATCTATTTGTCGGAATATATTTTTATGTCCTTAAATATGTTACCGCATAAATTTGGACCACGTGAACCGATATTTTGTTTTTAATCGGAAAGGTGATAAATCGTCATTGGATCACGAAGAAATTGGTTTTTTGCTTAAAAATTACTTGTTTTTTTTTGTTTATTTAATGTTATCTATAAAAAAAAAAAACATGTAAGACCAATCTTTGTACACAAGGTAAGAAGATTCATAACAATGTTAAGCTTTTTAATTCGATTTTCTATGGATATTGTCTTGTAAAGCTTACAGCTTCTTTTTTTCTTGTTATAAATTTATCCATGTAGACTCATCACTAAATATTTAATAAAAAAACAGCTCAAAAAGTCTTAGTTTTGAAGATAAGTAAATCCTCACTTATGGCAACGCTGACCACAGGCAGCACTCTGACCGTGGTCTCCATCGCGCTGCGCTATCAACCCTAACCAAACGACGTGCGTAGTTATTGAATGCTCCCTTGCTTTTGACGACGATTTTCCATATTCTCTTGAAAATTCTCTGTCTGTCGTCAGACTACATTGTAAATATTTAACGCAGATACGTATCAAAAAATTACACGAGCATGAAAAACTTTTTGGAAAAAACAAAATAATTTACATATGTAAATGATTTGTTTAGGCATTATTCAATACATATAAGGAACTGTTGGAATATATTCTGTAATAGATTGTAATGAGTATTATTATCTGAAAATAAAAATTGTAAGTTCACAAAATTTAATAAATTGGCGATTGAGATCATACAACCGTTTAAGAAAATTTCAAACTACACGATTACTCCAAATGGTCCTAACCATGATACAAATATATGAAGCTAGTTTCACTTCGATTATTTTTGATTAAAATCGTGATTATTGACTGGATTCCTCTTCAAAACGATCATGCATACTCCTTATTCATACCATTCCAGATAATATATAACATAGGCCTGCGAAGCTATATCCCTTAAAAAACTAATTACAAATTTGGAGAGATATTAGGTACTAAGCTACGAAAAAAATAAATAAAAAATGCTTCCACGTAAATTTTCCGAGAAAATTCGTTTTTAATTTTTTTCAATGTTCCCGCATATTACTAGCGTTAACTTGGAATTCCCATAAGCCTTTCTGATGTATTTCCTTTTTGGTTGTTGTTCTTTCCGACAGGGTGGGTGTATGATGTATTTTGGAACGAATTTCCGTCATCCCTTGTCAAATTTGGTTTGGAGACATCTTTCTGATGTATTTAGTCTTTAGGGGTATTTTTAACTAAAACTGGTGTTTTTCAGTAAAAATTTAATTTTGGAATACATAATACATTTTTGTTTTTTTTTTCACGAAAATTTAAAAAATTATATAATATGCATATCTTCACGTCTCTCATTAAACAGGCCTTTGATTTTTTTACCCTTAAAAACTAATTAGCAATTTGAGTTGGTATTAGGTCCTAAGCTATGAAAAAATAATAAAAAATTTCCGTCAGATAAATGTTCCGAGAAAATTTTTTTTTTTCTTTTTGTGTTACCGCGTATTACTCCTTTTCTTAGTGTTACCGCGTATTACTGGCGTTAACTTCGAATTTTCATAAGTATTTCTGATTCACTTAGTCTCTTTAGGGTTATTTTTAACTACTACAGTTTTTTTTTTTAAGAAAAAGTTTAGTTTTAGTTCGATTACTTTTTGGCTTTTCATGAAAATTGTTAATTATTCTAAAATATAAATATCAATAAAAATAAAATTCGATATGCCAGAAAAAAAACAACGCTGTTCTTTAATTTAACATACCTAGATATTAAAAAAATAAAATAATTATTGGAAGAAGTAAAATAAAGATAATTTTCGCAGACCTGTCTAATGGAAGAGGAGATACTCTATTCAATGCTCCTCACACTTTTTGGACTCGAAAATTTTCCATTTGTATGATATTTCTCTATTTAAAGAGGAAATAGTATTTAAAGACTCTTCACGTATTTTTTTTTTGGATTTGGATATTTATGATATGAGGGTTTTGTATAAATTTACTCAATTCATAAAGGATAGGCGAAAAATTAAAATTTTCGTTTTCTTATTAGAAGCCGCTGGCAGAAACGCACTCGGAGGTTTGCCTTTGCCTGCCGAGCAGCGACCGCTGTTAGAAAAAACCTTTTTTAATGTAGATGTTGCTCGGGCCACGAATCGAACCAGGTCGTACGCACCTCTAACGAATCAGCCACAGATGTTCATAAAATCACATTCCAAAAAAATGCCGAAAAAATTTAATCAAAGTCCTGAAATAATTATTCAATTGACATTCCATTTCCTAAAATACATATTTCAGTTTCATTCAGGTTTTACTAAATTTACTAAATTTACTATATTTAAATATTTTATAAACTCCTTTTGTATACTACTATTCTTAAAGTTATATTTCATTCTATTTTTAAAAGTGAAGTGTCAAATGACAGGGCTTGGGCTGCAGATGTGCAATACTATTTTATTTTTTTTTTTAAGGTTTGCCACCTGTTACAAATTTTATTAAAATTATTTAATAAGACAGATGAATTCGATATTATAATATGGGTATCCATTGAAATGGGTTTGAAAATGCTTTACTTCTAACCGACAAGTAGAAGGGTTGCCACATGTTTAAAAAATCAAATTCACTTTAATAAGGGCAATAAGGTAACGGAAATATGTACATATACCAATATGGGTTTGAGACAAAAGAAAAAATTGGGCATATTTAGCAAGAAATAAGTAAGAGTAAAAAATCCTGAGTTAATTTAAGAGTCCAGTAATTTAAAAGAATGTAATCAGATCAAATCACTGATTGACAATGTATGTATTTGTAATAAAATAACAAATACGATGTCGTAAACCTTTGGTTTGAAACAGTTATTATTTTAGTTTAACTAAATTGGCCTTTACAAACAGGTGGCAACCCTCTTAAATATATTTCTAAGTTATAAACTTCTTAAACCTCTGACTCCGATATGGAGATACCTATGTATCAGAGCTGTAAAACTGTGAAATCATTTGAAATTAAAAATCATCAATTTTATGTTATTATGTTTTCATTGAATTCTCCCTTATTGAATAATGCGGCTTATAGTTTTCCAATTCTACATTCACTCAAAGTAGATACGATTGCACACATTTCCATATTCAAAGAAAGATTGAAAAAATTGAATGACGAACGATTCACTTTTAACACTGAATAAGCACTCAGATGAATGCAGCTTTTGCTATGTGTGCACACATCCACTCAGTACCAATCAGTTGATATAAATATTTTGAACACACAAAACCCACTGAAAAATACGCCAGGTTGCATTTTATTAAAAAGACTGCAAAATTTCAACACGAAAAATAGTTAATAGAGCGTTATCATCAGTTTTGTTCACTTAAATTTGTACAAGGATTTATAAGAATAAAAAATATTAATTAGAGAAATATTTTTTAGTGAACGTGTCGTTAGAATGTCATTATGAAAAATATAAATTATTAATGATTTTAACAACTCTGTTTAGAAAATTGTCAGCTTTCCAAATAAGTGTTACCCTTATACCATTAATAATGCATAATGCATAAATTAGTACATACATATATAAGTTAATATAAACTAACAAATTTAAGAGCTTCTGGTTCTAACTTTAGACATACATATACATTTCATTATTTAATTATAAAAAATTTTTATACAAATTTCTTCGTACTTTTTTTCGTCGTATTGGGTCAAGCAGTTAATGAAGATTCGAAAATCGAATTTGTTGGTTTGTGGTGGTTTTTTCATTTACAATAAGCCACAAATTATCAACATTTCCAACAAAAAAATATTTAACAAAATTCGTTGGTCTCTATTTTCATTAACATCCTTTTCCGAAAGTGCAATATTTAAGAATTTATACCTATTTCATTGAGCACGCTTTTTAACCCAAGTTTTGGTTTGTTTGTTAACATCAAAACTACATATCGACACCTAAGTGGAAGATCGACCTATCTCGGCAGCCAGTTCGAAAACTCCCTATCTCAAAAAACTGTTCTAGAACACCCTATTTCAGAATTTTGTTGAAGAACGCCCTATCTCAGAATGTGGTTCAAAAACGCCCTATCTCGGCAAATTTTTAATATATTTTCATTTGAGATAGGGCGTTCTTCAACCAAATTCTGAAGTAGGACTTTCATAAAAAGTTTTCTGAGTTAGGGCGTTTTTGAATTGGCTGCCGAGATAGGTCGATCTTCCAATCAGGTGTCGGTATATTAATAAAAAATGATTAAATATTGTCTGCTGTAACCTATTTTAGAAATAATTTTTTTATTAGGATTTGCAATTTGTAAAAATCAGTTCCTTCCAATTTTGGGAATCAAACGGGACCCCACACAACCAAAAATCGTTTTCTACAATCTTTATTAACCTGAAGGGCTAGACAACAAACAACCGCTATGCGAACAAAGTTATAATACCCATGTGCACAAATGCGCTCGGGTGTAATTATTTCTTAAAACATTATTCTAAATGTATGTTTTGAGCAAATTGATTTAAAAAGTTAGAAATATGTCCCATTTTTCAAAAATGTATTATAATAAACATGTGAGTTTTTTAGCAATTTGTTTTCTGTAATAAAGGAAATATTGAATT